AAAAATGTTGATGGTATTTATAAAAGAATTTTGGTTCAAGGAAAGGCTGGTGAGTTGTGATAGTTATGTAGTGTAATTTTGGTTGGTGTTCGTGAACTAATTTCTTATTCTTTTCAGGGACTGGTAAAAGTCTTCTTATAAAATATTTAATTGAAATGTTATGTAAAGAGTTTGGTCCTTCATCGTTTCTGTTACTTGGGCCTACTGGAGTTGCTGCCAGGAATATTGGTGGTACAACAATTCATTCTGCTCTTCATTTACCACGTGGTGGAAATGAGTTTCTTAACCTAAAGGGCGAAACTTCTAGAAAATTTACTGACAAAATGGACAATGTGAAATTTGTAATTATTGATGAATGGAGTATGGTTGGAGCAAGAACTTTGGCTTTGATAGATAAACGATTGAGAGAAGGAACAGGCATCAATGAACCGTTTGGAAATTTATTTGTTTATATTTTTGGTGATTATAAACAGCTGCCACCTGTAAGGGAAGATTTGTTGTATGGTGGTCCTTGCAGAAGTCTTCTTTCAGAACATGGAAGAAACATGTTTAATTGTTTTGAGAAACATTTTGTTTTGAATCAAGTTTATCGTCAAAGTGATCATGTGTTTCTTGATATTTTAAGTCGAGTCAGTAATGGTGAAGTTTCTCAAGAAGATTACAAGAAGTTAAAGAAAAGATTTACTTGTAATGTTAGTCGTGATGAAGAAAAGAAATTTGCAAATGCTTTAAGACTGTATGCAACTAAGAAGGCTGTTAGACAATACAATTTGGACAAATTGCATAAACTAGTTGATGAAAATGGCAATTATGTTCCCATTGCTCGAATTGCATCTAAACACCATGGATCAGGGGCAAGTTCTGGAACCGTTGATGATGCAGGTGGCTTAGAGCCAGTTTTATACTTGGGTGTTGGCCCAAGAATAATCACTGTTAAAAAAAATATGAAAATTCAGACTGATTTCGTCTTACTTGGTGGTCTGAATCGTAAATTCATAAAATGGTACGAATATTAAGACCAACTGTCTGAAAAGTTTGACCTGTTGTCTGAAATTTGAATTTAGACTAGCAAGTCTGAATATTTAGAGCGATGGCTATCAAGTTTTGTACATTGTCGTCCGAAAACTAAATTCATACTTGTGAAATCGAAAAACGAGTGAAAAAACCCCGTCCCCTTTGTACATTTTTCGATTTTCTCAGAACTTTTATCAATACTACTGTTGTATTTCAAATAATATTTACGTTTAGTGTCGTAAAAGCATAGAGAATGTTTCAGAGCTCCGAAATGGACACTTATTGCTCTATCCGCTAGGTGGCGCTAGTGTCGCATGGATGATCTCTTGGAGCTAAAATTGCCACTTGAAGGCGAAATCGCGAATATTTTGTTACAAACTTATTCCAAGTGATTGTCTGAAAGGGCATGAGCGCACCAAAGCAAGATTCAGGTTAATAAGTGCAGTATAAGCTAAATAACAAAGAATACAATTTCACTCTCGCGCATGGCCACGGGTCGGCGCGTGGTTGGGCTAAGGCCGCTCTCCCTCGCATTTCAGCAGTCACCTTAAGCCTCTTCACTTCCTTTGCAAGTAGGAGTCTACTGCCGTGAACCTAATTTTTGAGTCAAGACGATCCGCTGAGCGTCTACGATAAACCGATGGCAAAAGTTCGCCGATTTGTGTTCTACTCTACAGAGTGACATTTTTTAGTGCGACTGTTCAATGTCTTTGTCTTCGTACAACTTAGTCTGATAAAATAGACCGACTGGTATCATTTTTCATACAACATGTTGATCTGAAAATTCAGACTAACGTCGTCTGAAACTTTCAGACCGCGAAGTATGAAAGTTTTGGTATGAAAATTCAGACTGAATGTAAGTAAATCGACTTCTTACAAAAAATTATGAATTTTTCAGTAAATTTTTTTAACAGTGATATGCTAAGAAGCAATTTGTTTGTTAGAAGAGGTTTAGTAAATGGCAGTTTAGGTACTGTTGTTGACATACTTTATGCTCAAGGGAAAATTCCTCCAGAGGATGCCCCAGACATTATCATGGTTAAATTTGATGGATATACTGGTCCTGGTATTGGAGCAGACAATTTAGTTCCAATTTCTGCAATCAGTCAGTCATGGTCAAGGAATGGCAATTCATGCACTAGACAGCAGTTTCCAATAGTGTTGTCTTATGCTTGCACAATTCATAAGAGCCAAGGCTTAACATTAGACAAGGTAAATGTTTTGAATTTCTATTTGTTACTAGTATTTGTAATTTGATTTCTTGTAATTAACTTTCTGTTTTTTTTTAGGCGGTTATAGATATTGGCACAAGGGAATTTTCACTGGGTCTCACGTATGTTGGATTGTCTCGTGTGAAATGCCTTGAGGGGATTCTATTACAGCCAGTGGCTTATGAGAGATTTATTGCTATAAGTAAGTGTGCAGATTTAGTATACAGAAGAGAATTTGAACAAACTGTACTATCATGTAGAAGTGAACAGTAACTTGCTAGCTGGACTTTAATTCCTCTATTATAGCAGTGTGTGTGAGTAATTAAATTTTTTATTGCAATGTTGCTTTCTCGGGTTGTTTCTTCTAACTGTAGCTCTATTTTTCCTTACAGTGAATGTTGATGGTTGTGTGTCAAAGTAAAACCTAGGTTCTCAGCAAAGGGTTTGAAGTCAACTTCAAGTTAGAATTGTGATTTATTGAAGTGTTTAAATAAATGAGACATTGAGAGTAGTGATGAATTCAATTTTTATTGTATCTTAAAGAACAACTGACAACTTAACTTTTCTTCAATAAAAAAAAACAAACTAAACATTCTTTTGAAAACAGTTGTTGTGGCGGTCAAGGAAGGCGTCAATTTCAATCAATTTCGTCAATCGTAGGAACCTGAAACATGCATGGCAGAAACAGTTTAGGAAATGTAATACAAAAAACTGAGTGAAAAGGAAAAGAAACTTACTAGTTAAGGCCAATTGTTCCTTCCTTGAATTGCTTCTCTTTTCTTGAGATCTTTTAGGCGGTCCTCATCTATGTCTGTTAATAAAGAACAGTTGTAACACATTGCATAATATGAAGGAAAATTAGCAAATGAAAATGAACTCACCTTCTTTAAAGGGATGAATTAAAATGTCTTCCCTATTATTGTCCTTGCCATAGTATACAATAGAAGGTGGAAGGTTATTTTGGATATCTGCATTCAGTCTGAGCACATGGTCTGCAGTTAAGTCGTTATACGGTGTTGGCATGGTCACAAAGTACTTCATTCGCCCATCAACGAAATATGCAGCTATATCAAGTTAAGAAAGGAGAAGGTTTTGAGCCAGCGCTGGCGCTGGCGCTGGAAGGTGAGGGGCAGGGAGGGGTATCGCTGCGTCTGGCTTAAGCCAGCTTGAGCGCGACCGCCTCCCTGCCCCTCACCTTCCAGCGCCAGCGCCAGCGCTGGCTCAAAACCCTCTCTTTCCTTAACTTGATATAGCTAATGAGCTTCTTCTTTGGAGGATCATTCATGGTAGGTGTTGAAGTCTTCTGTATGAAGTTGGTGACCTCATATTTCCTTCCTCGTTCAAGTGTAAAGGGCGACCTGAATGTTGCATAGTCATGGACCCGACTTTTCAAAAAATCGTAGATGGACATCTGTAACAGTGAGATGAAGATGTCACAGTGGCATAAGGTTGACGAAATAGGAAACGGAACAGGACAATTGGGAAATTGTGCACATGTTGTGAACAGGTTGACAAGCTAATGTAAATTAGAACGAAATTTTATCCAAAACTGGTAATTACACATTCTACAATGAGAGTATGAATATTTCTAACGGTGATAATCTACGATTGACATGTGAAACGTTCAAGGTGAATCGAATTTAAGGAAATGAACACTGCTACTACTGACACAAGGTAGGTTTACGCCAGACCGCGTCTTGTCGTAACAGGCTTCGCGATGTCTCGCTGCCTGTTCCTCCAATCCGCGCCTGGCGTACCTACCTTGGCCTGCGGCGCTAGCCTGCCTTCGGCAGGCCATGGCTTGCCCATCGTCGGTTACTTCTAAATTGTTGCATGCTGGGGGGCTCCGCCCCGCAGCCCGCAGACCCCCCTTCATTCCAGATAGAGTTGCCTAATCCACAGATAACACGATCTCTACCCTTGTTACTTTTCAACTAGCCGGGGCTGGAGGGCTCTGCCCCCCTGACCCCCCTTTCTTCAAGGCAGAAGGCATTTGCCGGCAGAAAACTCGATTTTTCGCCGTTTTTTAGGTGTTTTTCGGCTATAAAAACTGAACCAGTTGAGCTAGGATAGAGAAATTTCGCGTGTGCCGAGCCAAGGACATACCCAAAAAGTGTGCAAAATCTCAGCCCGATCGGCCGAGCCGTTCAGGAGGAGTAGTGCTGACAGACAGACACACAGACAGACAGACAGACAAAACTTTTCAACACCACCTGAGTAACGGGCTTCGCTATCGCTCAGCCAACAATAAAACTTCACGTGTTAATTACGGAGAGGTTAACTAATCCTGACCATTGAGTATGCAATGCAAGTGTAAGGCAGAGAGTTACTTTGCACTGACATAAATTTTCAAGTGTAGGGTAAAGGTTAAGTCAACCTGAACTTAGGGTTATTCATTTAAATAAAGACTAAGAATAGAAATGACACTTACTTTGAAAGGAGGAACTTCGTCGTCGTTGAACGATCAGAAACAGCTGTGGTAGTACCGGCTTGGTACCGGCACCGGCAACGAAGGGGAAGGACACATGTTTTCTTTTATTCTTCTTGGAAAATTGGCTGTAAAAACAAGAGAGAGAGGCCAGAGTCCGAAGGTAGGGGCGCATCTTGTCAGCATTTATTCACAGTTTACTCATTTAATATAGAGATAAAAATATTACATTTAATTGTATAATTGAGCAAACTACATGCAAAACTAATGCTAGTACATATTTACGCTTATATGCCTCTTAACGAGCAATGACATCATCTCGGTTAGGTGCGTCCCCTGGCCTCTGTCGGACGTTTTCACAGTCAACATGTCATTTTTGAAAGCCGGAAACTTAAACTTCATCCGTTCTCGTCCATTTCCTACACTGTGGTCTACGGGTTACTACTCTGTGCTAGCGTTTAAGAAGTTCATACAACAAGAAATTCATCCAATCAAGGTAAGTGTTAGTTTTATTTTCTCCAGGTTTTATTTAATTTGTTAACCGAAATGGTCAGCTTATCTTAACCTCTTTCCTACACGTGGAGATTTCTGTCAGTGCGTTGATCCTCATTGGTTTGGTTTCCTCAACGCCTCTGCTCCACGTGGTGATTTATCTCATGTTACCGGTGTGCTTTTCCTTAAATTCCTTCTACTAATGTTTTTTCACACGTCAATCGTACATTATCAGTGTATGAATTATTCCTAGTCTCTTAGCTTCTTAGTACACGGGGACATTTGTGTCAGATATAGCATGATGCGATTGTGTAGACTTGCATCCTGATTGCATTTTGCCTAAACCTCTGCTACACGTGGATATTTGTATTAGTTCTCTTAGCTTTCACTTTGAATGGGTTTTAAGTTGTTCTTTTTTCTTTGTCTATGTTATTTTCTAATTGTCTCGTGCTATCCCAATTCTATTGACGTTATGCTTGTTGCTCATTCTGTGTCTGTTTGTTTCAGATGTCTGTGTACAATTTTCTGAAATCTAAAGTAAGCGAACATGCTACTAAGAAGAGCCCCGATGCCCTGGAACGAGGCAAAATGTATGAGGTGTATTTGTTTAAGCAGCAAGTGTCTTCTTACAAGGACAAGAACAACGAATGTCCAAATACCTTAATGGCCTACTTTAAAGATGGAAGAACCAAGTACTTTGTGACCTTGCCAGGATTATACAACAACATGTCCGAAGAACATGTCGCTCAGTTGAACGAAGATATTGGAAAGAAGGTGCCACCTTCTATTGTTTTTTATGGGAAGGATGAGAACCGAAATGACATTCTGATTCATCCATTTGGAGAAGGTTAGTTCACTCTCATTAGTTAGGTTTCGTTTCCAATTATGCCATGTCTAACAATTGTTCAATTTACAGAAGTCGATCAGGAGCGTCTAAGGGAAATGAAGGAGAAAGAAGAGAGTACTCCGAAGAAAAGGAAGTTGGAGTCCGAGTAGTCTGCTGATAACTAGTAAGTTAGCTTTTGTTTCTGTTTTCGTCCTTTTTTCCTTATATTGTAAGTGGTCTTTTTGTGTGTTTCAGGTGCTGTGTCCAATGTATGGCTATGATCTGGGAATTGTGAACTGTTTTTGTTTGTTGTAACAAAATTTATTTTTAGTTTGTACTTGTTACAAGTTGTTGTAATTATGTTAGAATATATCAGTATTCCTCACTTTAATAACTTATTTAAACCCCCGTCAACAAATGTTAATTCATCTTTTTACATAAAAATGACTAGAATGGAATTTCTTAGTTAATGGGTTCAAAACTTTTTCAAGTCCAGCAATTGCCAGTTTTGTTGACATTATACTGTTTGTCATTTGTCTGAGTTGGCGATGAGTCTGTTTACTAGCATTCAGTAAATTCAGTGCTTTTGTATTAATGATACACACACACGCAGACACTTTTGTCAAGTGTAAGATTTGAGGTTCATGTTCCCCAGTCTTAACACTGTACAGCCTTCTTATTTCTGTGCCAATATCTTCCCACATCCCACGTTAAACCGATGTTAGAAACTTAAATCGTACACTCGACAATTTACGCAGTCCTTAGAAACCAGGTGATGCTAAATCTTTGTCTAACAGTTTGAACAAACTAAAGATTTACTTTTGAAACAAAGCGTGATGCCAGTAAAAGTTCTTATGTCTAGCGATTATTTGCTCTAAACTGTAATGAGTATGAACAATATGAACAAGAAAGAAAAAGAAACTTCCATAACCTTTATTGATGTCAAACTAAACCAATTTTTACCACAATTTTCATTGCATATAACACATTATAAAAGGAGGATATACATGTGTTTTACCTACAAAATATGTATTACTAAAATTTAAATACAAAGCACTAGTTCCCATATCCTTAACACTTCAGGTGGAGATCAAACGTCAAATCAGAACACAGTTTCAATGGCATCAGTTTAAACATACGTTGTGTTTTTGAAGTAATGATGAAGCAAAGCAAATTTGCAGGGAAACTGTAAAATCTGTGCTAATGGAGCTTTTCAAAGATCTTTTTATGATGGCATTAAGAAGATCTTATTTTCTTCTTCCTATTTGGTCTGGTCCAGTGCTTTTATGGCCCACTAATCCAGCGTTTGTGTTCCAAGTTCCGCGGCAGAGATGAAGCCACGTCATGTTTCTTTTTTGTTTAATTATTACCGATAATATTGTAGTATAAGCTGGGCGAAAGGTGATATCAAATGTTACTTAAACTGTTTAAACCAAAGATTTATTACTGAAGAAAGTCAATTGCCCGTTAGGGCCTTAAAGCTCAGCCAATCAGTGCCCCACTGTTACTCGTTATATTTTATCACGAGTACTTCTAGTTAGTAGCCCTAACTTCTACAACAGTTATGCCTTCTCGATTTGGGATGGTGGTCCAAAAAGCAAGAGAAACCCCCCCCCCCCCCAATGTGAATGGAGACTGCTGGCTTGAAACCATTGAAAAACAAAAACTACCTGGGTCTTTATCAAGTTACAAGGCTTTATTGTTACCGATGAGACAAAAAAAGCCTGGGAAAACAAAAAGTGTACGATCTTCTTCAGCGGCGTAACATTTGTTCACATGCAAAAATCAAACAAAAAAAAAACTTTACGTCAAGTTTCATTCAAGAGGGGAGTCCGGTCGGCTTAGACAGAACTCAATGCGTTGGTGAAAACAGTAGCTGGCTTCTGATAGGTTTCGAACAAGTGCTTTTTCTCCGGGGGGCTGAAATAGTGCGGTTCCAGCTGCACAAGAACGGCCTCAAGTTCCTGGCACCTCTCCTGTAATGAAGCACGATACCACATGAGCGAAAATAACCTTCCTCTCAATGACTGCAGACGACAAGATAGCGCGTTTTCTGCAAGCTTAAAGTTGGCCTCTACGAAATCGTAATTAAGCATGACAAATTGCGTGGTGCACGGGTGCACGCGCGTACGTGCGTGCACCAGAAATAAAATTTATCGGACATTAGAAGCGTGTCGAGCTTTAACAGGCTTAACAAATAAGTCTTCATATTCGTCAGAATGACAAATTTGACACGTTCATCTGAAGGCGATGTCGAGGGGTCCTATTCAAAAGTTTTTTACTGGGCGCTCCTATTCAAAGAATCGTAACAGCAAAGAAAGCGAATTTGACCATGTTTGATCATTTGAGGCAGCTACAAATAAAAAAAAATTGGGATTGAAGTCACAAACAGTTGGAGATTTCAGATCGAAGAAATTAATAGCGCGTGTAAAAATATGTTCCGCTTACCCTTTTCTCCGTCCCAAATGGTCAAACTTAGTCAAATTAGCATCTCGAATGGGTCTCAACCCATATTAAATGGGTCTCGACTTTTCTCCAACGGGTCACAACCCATTCTCAACGGGTTAGGGTAAAGTGCCGAACATGGATCGGGGTACCAATCGTGGATCATTTTTGTGAGCGAGCCCGTACCGCCAAACCAATCGACCAATTAATTTTTTTTCGAAGTTTTTCATTTGGTCTACACATTAGACTACAAGAATCACGCGTGGGGGGGGGGGGGGAAATAATCAATCCTACCGTTACCCTTACATTATGCAAATGAAAAAGTGCCTCTGAAAAAAGGGCCGAAAACCGAGGGGTGAATGACTCAGCGTTCTGGTGTACACATGAGTACATGAGTACGGGTGAGTACACCTTGCTTAGCTCACAAATTTTGCATTTGTAAACGCTCAAAGGCTTTATTTAGCGTTTTAAACGACACCCAACGCCAAATCAAGCGAAAAAGTACAGAATATCACCCTTATTAAACTTGAGAGTACACTGAGTACGGGCAAATTTGTACACATGAGTACACTAGTGATTCACCCCTCGCCGAAAACGGCCTGGTTTCAGGTTAGTTATTACAGACGATCCATTCATCAGAAGTGTCTCAAAAGTTTTTCGTAGCACCTTCAGAGAGTACCCTTTCAAAATTTAGATGACCATGAGTTATCGGAACGCCCCTGTCCAAACGCGAGGGGGGGGGGGGGGGGGGGGTAATCCATGTTTGGGTCAGACCCAAATATGGATCACTAAAATCAGTGAAATTTCAAAGCCCTGTAAATTTCAAAGTAATTGTTACAAAATGTTCAGTTCTTGAGAGGAGGTTGTCTTTGTGGTCATCTTGGAGCGTATCGAAGAAAACTTGGATCATCGCTTGTTTGAGCTGAAATACAGGACATTCCTAAAAAGTGATCCATGTTTGGTAACCTTACCCTACGACTCATTCCCAGAGGGTCGCGACCCATTCGGGTCTGAACCCGTTCCAAACGGGACTAACTCATTACTGGGTTTTGTCTGCTATGGGATTGAGTATGGAATTCAAACAAACGTGACACAGTGCACATTCTAACGAATGTGACGTCACTAATCGTTAAGTGAGGGAAGTGGAATGGGATGTGCAATAAGCCAACAGGTATCGTAACCGCTCTCGTAACCAAACAGTCAGGACTAAGGAAAAGTGAGGGTTAAAACGTGGCAACAAGCAGCAGGTGAGTTGCGACGCACCTTCATGACCCGGATTCGGTTGGGCCCCCTCGGCCCGCCCGTCTTCAGGCTGTTGAAGAGGAGGTCGAACTTGACCAAGAGCAGCGCCCAGCGGTGGTGGCTGAGGCCTGGCTTCAGCTTGCCCAGCACGTGCAGCATCCTTTCGGCGCGCGCCACGTTCCGCTTGACGTCGGCTAAGGAGGAACAGAGCAGGAATTACGGGAGGGCAGACTGATGAGGGACGAACACTGCACTCTCTTGGACATGAGCACTCCACAAATCTACGAGCGTGCATTGTGTGCTCTACCTGGAGCATGCCTGCAAGCACGCTCTAGCTAGCGCATCACTGAAAAACCAAACGTGGTCTAGACCGCACCAACTGGCGTGGTCAAATGGGTGCCATTTTGACCACATCAGTTGGTGTGGTCTAGACCACGTTTGGTGCGGTCTAGGCCACGTTTGGTGCACACTAAACTTCTTACGGATACGTCCTATCTGTATTACGGACATTTTTGTGCAATTGCAATTACGGATAGATTTTGCTTGTAATACGGATGAAATCATCCGTATTACAAAGAGTTTTACGTCCGTACCATACGGATATTTTCGTCTGTATGTTACGGACGTAAAACTCTTTGTAATACGGATGATTTCATCCGTATTACAAGCAAAATCTATCCGTAATTGCAATTGCACAAAAATGTCCGTAATACAGATAGGATGTATCCGTAAGAAGTTTGGTGTGCGGATCGTGATTTGGTGGTAGTAGTGCAACGGTGAAAATTCGCTGGAAAAGTGCACCTTTGTGGTACAAAATATCTGGTAGGCATCTGGTCGCATTTCTTGCGGTGCCATTTAACGCGCCTTGTCAAAAACTTTCGGTAACCGTTTCAGGCGTCCAAATCCGCTGGGCTGCCTATCCTACTCTACAAATCAAAGAGTGTACATGGTACGCTCTAACTGGAGCATGCCTGCAAGCACGCTCTAACTAGCGCATGCCTGCCAGGCATGCACTAACTAGTGCATACATGCCATGTACACGCTAACTGAAGCATACATTTACTGCATAAGGGATAGGGAGTTTTCTGCATCAGGAAGCGTGTACATGGCATGTATGCTCTAGTTAGTGCATGCTTGGCAGGCATGCGCTAGCTAGAGCGTGCTTGCAGGCATGCTCCAGTTAGAGCATACTATGTACACTCTTTGATTTGTAGAGTACAGACGAATCTTTCGACATTCGACATTTTTTGCTTACAGGGTAGGATAGAAGTTGTGGGAGGAGTCTCATTAAAATATTCTCAACTCTTTTACCCCATCTGATGAATGTCTCTGATTTTTCAAAGAGCGTGAAGTTGTAAATTGTGTCATTAAATTTGAGGGGAATTATAGAAATTGTGATTCATTACTTCTTACCTAGAATCTTAGATAGTTACCTATTGAGTATTACTGTTCGTCTGGTATGCCTGAACTTTGGGTCTTGTCATTTTTACAGTAGATCTAAATATTTGGTCAATAAATATAAGAGAACAAATTTTCTTCCACTTCCTAACCCCATGTTGCTAAGAATGTACACATTTTGTTTTGTAGTTTCCTAACTATACCAGTTCGTTTGTTAGACTTCCAACTGTTCATGTTTCAGAATGTCCCCATTGTGACATGTAATGTTCCCAAAACTTAGCGCATGCCTGCCAAGCATGCACTTACTAGTGCATACATGCCATGTACACGATAACTGAAGCATGCATGTAGTGCATAAGGGATAGGGAGTTGCCTGCATCAGAAGGCGTGTACATGGCGTGCATGCACTAGGAAGTGCAAGCTTGGCAGGCATGCGCTGGCTAGAGCGTGCTTGCAGGCATGCTCCAGTTAGAGCATACAATGTACGCTCTTCGATTTGTAGAGTATGAAGCAAAAACCCTTCGTAATACGAAGCAATTGTACATACTCTCATTCCAGGAACGTGACATCACGTTGAGCATTGTCCCGGGTGGAAGGAAGTCTAGTTTTAACTGAGTACCGACTACAGTGAAAAACTGCAGTGCACATACTGCGGTCTTCAGTGCAGTCAAAGTGTGAAAAAACTCTGTAATTATTTACAAGTTTGTGTACTGTTCAGGTGGTACTCGTAATAGTAGTCTGACTGCAGTTTTTTTCCAGTTAAGAGTTCAGTTCTTAAATAGTGTCGAAACTTCAGCTTGATCTACAGCTATGTTACACTCACCATTGCTCAGTTAAACAATACTTCAAAAGTGTGTTAAAATACTACTTTTGACTCAAGTATATCAACGCTTTATCTGTAATTTTATCTGCATGATTATTGTCTAGACACCATTACGCTTCAATTTACACTTATAGTATACCTTTTCAATGCAGTCAGGAATGAGGAAGCGATTGAAGAACAAAAGTAATCACATTGCAGGGACTACTAGCGCGCCACCTAGCGGCCGATGCAGTGAACTTCGTTCGGACCTACGCTTGGACCAATCAGGGTTCAGCTTTTGTCAGTTCGCTATAACGGCCGCTTGGTGGCGCGCTACTGGTTCCGGGCTTTTAGAGTACTTTTGTTTTTCACTCGGCGACGAGCGAAAGGGGCTATTGAAAACCGACACGACTGGAAGGCAAGGATCAGTACGTCGATCAATATGGTTTTTCTTCTCTGAGATTAAGCATGGCGGGGTGAAGCCAAAATTTAACGTTGAGCATAAAAATTATTGCGATATTCTTAGGCGTCGGGGTAGTGCGCAAACTGTGGAAAAATCCTCATCCCACCACACCGTGTGGTCTACTGTCAGCCGCCGAGCTGCAAGGCCAGGTTTCAAGGACCTGCCGCTAGGTGGCGCTTGGATCGCTGTGAGTGTTTGTCAAACGGGATTTCTTATTTAGGCTAGTGAATTAAGTTATTTTTGCAAGTTACACCATCTGCCACTTCAGTAAATATCTGCTTTAGACGTCAGAGAAAAATTTGAATCAGAATATTGCACTGAAGTGGAGAAAAACGGAATTCCGTGTTAGCACTCGATGGCGTCTACGGGCTACAATTAGGTTGGGTCCACGCATGATTCGCTCGGTTCTTCAGACTATCCTACCTTACTAGGCAGTCTGCGGTAACATGCAGTGGTAACGTATGAAGGCGATGTTAGTCAATACTAGCTCCTTCCAATTTTTAGTCAATACCGACAGCACTTGTCGAGTGGCATGGACTGGTCCACCCGACTTGCCCGCCCGGCCTTCAACCGGGTTCCACTCTCATTGCGGAGATGGCACAGCATTACAAACAACCACGTAAAGGACATGGAAGGAGTAGGGCCAGGGTCGGCAGTGGGGGCTTGCAGAACTAAATTTGAACGTGATTTCCAAATCCACACTTGTGACTAAAATTCAGAAAATACTTCTCGAAAATAATTTTAACTTCAATATAAAACTCGAGTTAAAGCTTCTGTAATACTGGCGAGATGAAACCATGATTAAAACTGCAGACAAGACTGCTCTGTCCGAAAAAACTACCAGTTTTCCTGTAAACAGACTGCAGTTCAACTATAGTTAACTATAGTTAGACTGCAGTTTCACCAGTTAAATTACAGTTGAACTACAGTCAAACTGCATCGGTCAGTCTGCAGTCTGACTGCTGTTCGTCTGCAAATAGGCTACACTTATTGAATACAGTAAAACTTAAGTTATTTTATAAACAGAAAGTATGTGGCGTACAGTCTAACAAATAGTTAAGTTGCAATTCCCAGATATAATTAGAACTTCAGTTCCTTCCACCCGGGGTGTCACATTCGTTTGGGTGTGAATTGGCCGAAAATCAGCTCGTTCACATTCAAACGAACGTGACACAATGCTCAAACGAACGTGACACTTTGTCACGTTCGTTTCAACGTGATGCCACGTTCCTGAAATGAGAGTGCAATGCCTTTTTTTTCTTTAAAGTTATGAAGCAAATGCTTCGAAGGCTTTTAAGAGTGATGACAACATTCATGCATTTGTAGGTACCGTAGAACGGGGTAATATGAGACATGAAGGAAAATAGAGACAAAGCGCACTTTTTTTGGTTTTTGTCGTGTTGCTCTCAAGCGGTTGTTCAGAAGACCATCGGGAATTTTTTTCGTGATCTAGGAGGCCTTAGCAGATCACGGGAAACGCACGAAGGCAATCAGAGACTCGCCAGGATTATTAAGAACCAAACGAAAATCATCTAAATTCTGACAAGTTTTATAAAGTTCGTAAAAACCTCCCCAGAAACCTCGGTTGGAACTCTGGTTCTCGTCCGAACGAGGTTTAAATCTGTAGACAATCATGTCAACGTAATCAGGACAAAATTTGGTTCTGTTATGTCTACTCCCGGGCCGCCTGTTCCAGATGGAATACAATTTTGTAACCTTGCAGGGAAAATAGAGACACCTCTTTTCGTTCGAAACATAAGGCCAAACATACTCCACTGTTCTTAATTTCAAGTAATAATGATTTTAACACGAATTTGTTTTACTACCTGACCGGCATCTACGCTCTTCGTTTAGTATTTTCATGTGACAGGCACAACTCATGACTTCTTAGACATTTTTCAGCTCTTTTTGGACACACCCATTTTTCTTCCCTCCAGATTTTATCTCTCCTTCATTATAATCCCCAATCATCTTTAAAATGAATGAAAAGAACTTAAAAAGCTCCAAACCCACCTAAATGAGTTTATTTTCCATACTTCTTTACCATTTTTCTCTTTTGTCTCATATTACCCCACATTGCAGGGAAATATGGGACGGCATTCCGAAGGTTATTGAAAGGTCCCTACTGCACCTAAAAATCTGAAATTTGGAGGGAGTGTAGCCAAAGGGTCAATGAACAAGTGATGAACACCTCAGCACCTCAAGTTGAAATTGAAAGGGGGAAATTCACATAAAACCTCGAAATTTGTCTCATATTACCCCGTTCTACGGTAGGTACCTAATGGCCTGAAGTTAAGTTTATACAGTGGACAGGTTAATAGTGAAAGAATATTCCGGGAATCCGTCCATACCTTCTCCCATGCCGCTCCCTATCATCTGCACGACGGCCACCAGGGTGGCGGACAGCTCGGAGAGCAGCCTGAGGCGGTGGTCCTTGTGCAGCGGGCCGCGAGGGAAGGTCAACTCGTCGAGGTGGGGACAGATGGTCCCGAAGCCTCTCATGGCCGTCTTCATCTCGATGAGCTCGGCCTCCACCGCGATCACGTCGGGCACCTCGGCGGTCTGGCCGCAGCCCTGGCAGCGGTAGCCGGGCAGGCCGCCGCCCTGGCCGTCCCAGCCGGCCAGCTCGGGCACCATCAGCTGCTGCTCCCCGCGCTCTGCAAGGCGAAGCGTTTCGTTTCAAGATTCAATTGCACTCACATCATTTAGCGACGAGGAACACTCTCAGCCTTTTACTGACTTTTTCTCATTGGCTTACGCATTTCTGTAAGCAACCATAATACTTAGTATTTTTTGTCAGTATTACTTAGCAATTGCTAATTACTGTACTGATATTACCGTTTTCTTAGTAAATTACAAAGAAATTTTTAAGTATTTAAGAACTTAATACTAAGTATTATAGTTGCTTACAGAAATACGTCTGCTAATGAGAAATAGTCAGTAAACGGCTGAGAGTGAAGAATGCGCAACAGCTTAAGATCAATTGGTGTTTCACGGTGGGCCAGAAGACCAGACGAGGCACCCAAACGTTTAGACGCGTTTTGAGCTCCAGAGTCACTAGCAATATGAGAGTCGAACCGAACATGTGGCCCCACAAATGGATTTCTCTCCGAACCAGGAGTCCATTGGTGGGGTCACACGTTTGGTTCGAATTCAGTGTAGAGACTCTGGAGCTCAAAACGCGTCTAAAATTTCGACGGCCGGCGCCAGTCCTCCACCACAATGTGTATTGTCGTAAGCAGGGATCCTTCACTTAACTCAACTCGTGAGGGCATCATAATGATATCGCAAGCGTTAAAAGAATAATCAATGGCTTATAATTTCCCAAAAAAAAGGGGCAAGTTATTTATCAAGATTCTCGTGTTTGATTATGGAAATACTTGCAACTGTCCACACCCTCCAAATAAGGGGGAAATTGCGAGGGGGAACAGCTTCCCACATTCGTTGTACAAAATTTGACCACATTCCACATTCAGGTGGCAAAATCGCCTGGAAGTAGGCAACATGTGTGGCAAAAACGCGAGAAATCTTGCACATTCGCACAATCATTGTACACAAGATTTTACAGTGAGTAACCCCTCGGGAAATTGTGTTAAGTCAACAAAGTTAGTAAAAGCAATGTTAGTAAAATGTTAAGTAACGGATCCCTCATCGCCAGGGTGACTTACCAGAGCATTGCGGACAGCAAGGGGAGCCTATGTAGACGCCACACGCGGTGGGATCCTCGCAGCGCTCGCATCGACACTCGAAGCTCCAGCCTCTCCGCAGCAGACGGCGCCGCGTCACTGCATCCTGCAACGGATTGCGCACTGTACATCACCTGCAGGCTGATTCCCAGAGTCGCATTCGTCTCTCTCGCTCCCATGCGTAGCGCCATGAGTGCGCGACGAAGACGACTCTCGCAATCAGACAACTGACGAGACTCTTGTGGGAGCGCGCACACATGGAGATGTGTACTTGAAATATATTTTTCAACTACATATCTCCACGTTTAGGGTGTGTACTTTTTCAAGCATGCATCAGTACACTGTCATTCAAAGAACGTGATGTACTGTCAGATGAAATATACGAATTTCGTCACGTTCGCATGATTATGAATCGGCCTCAATCAGGGTCTCATATACGTTCGAACTTGGATCAACAACACTGCAAAGCTGGTGTTAAGCTTGCCAATTTAAATTGGCAAGCCGAATTAAATGCCAAAACTTGGCAAGCTTGGCCCGGAAGTAACCCCCAGCTTGCCAAAATTCGGCAAGCTTCTTAAGATTTCCGACCAAAGCTTGCCAAATTTTCGCATTCAAAACGGCTTGCCAATTTTGTGGCAAGCAAACTTACCACCGGCTTTGCAGTGAATCCAACAAATGTGACGCCGTATCCAACGGAACGAGACAGAATTAATATTTCATCAAGTATGACGTCACATTCCCCGAATTACACTGAAGGCGTGTGGTGTGTACTTGCAATGAATGCACTGTTCCGTTCCGTCGACGAACCTGGAAGGCCATGTCCAAGTAGTCTATGGACAGGTGCTCCCCAGCCTTCACGTCTCGCGTCGTCACCAGGAGCTGTTCGAGGTCCGCGGCCTTGGAGTCGCGGCACAGCAGCAGGCCCGTGGGGTTGCAGCAGTGCTGCACCCGCGACAGCGCGTGGAAGAGGAAGGTGCCCATCTTGCCCTGCGTGGGGAGCGGACAGACGTGGTTAGGCGCAAGGTGAAAATTCGTCGTTCTTTTGGAGGTCGTCCGCTTATAAAGTATCGTTTTTCCCAGCCCAGTCCTTGCTGATAATGGACTCCAGGAACGCCAGAGAGACAGAAAACGATATGTTAAAACTCTTGTGACAAAATGGTGAATTACATTTTCATCAGTCATGACCACCAATAGATGACCAATAGAAGACATTTTCACCAATTGTCCTTCATAAATAGAGTGCATGGGCGTCACCAGAAATTGATCAACCGGTTGGATGAAGTTGAATTAGACTGAGATAGCCACAATTTTCACAATGCATGGGGGCTGGAGAGGAATACGAAGTCCACCGTTAAATTGACATAGTACGCTTCGTGAATTTAATTCGTACTATAATACGTAGTACGAATTAAATCCGGAGTACTTCGTGGGTTTAAGTACGGCTGAGGACACTAAATGAATTCGTCTAATTCAGGTCAATGAGCTTAACAGAATTGCGGAGAGTGGGTCACAAAGAAAAGAAGCTTCTTATAGCTAAATATTGTAAGCATACATAAGCTTACAAAGAAAATACTTGGTGAATTACGAACTATACGTAACTATTTCTTTGTAACTATTTCTTCGTACTTCTGACGAAGTAAATTAGTTTGTATTGTGTATGTATGCTCAAAGTACTTCGTAAGGATTCAAACGTGTGGAGCTCAAACACGCTGAGAATTTTCACTGCCTCCACCAGCCTTCTGGCCCGCTGTGGCCCCTACCTTGACCAGCGACTCCACGGCGTTCATGGGGTTGAGCTGCACGCCGTTGATGTCGTTCATGCCCGCGGCGCGCACCAGGTCCTCCTCGGCGATCCAGTGCAGGCCTGCCTCCTCGCGCAGCCAGCGGGCGGCGGCCGACCAGCGCCGCTCTTGACGCACGTCGGCGCCGAACGTGCATCGCCAGCCCACCGCGTCCACCAAACCCAGCACCGTGGGGAGCGCGCCTTCAGACGGCAGCACCTGCGGCACCACCACACTGCTATGACTCGCCGACAAAGGGAACTTTTAACCACAAGGTAACTTGGTACAACCTTAAAACCTTGTGAAGTATTTTGAGCATACATAGTACAAACTACTTGACTTTAAGAAGAAATAATTCGTATATTACAAAGTATTTTCTTTGAAAGCTTATGTATGCTCAAAATACTTTGTTATAACAAGATGCTTTTCTTTGAAAGGCCTGAAAAAGTTAGTTAGGTTTTCTCAGTGTACGAGGCAGTGTTTTAAGCAATTAGAAAGTCTTTTGTAAATTATTGAGAGTAGAACCTAAGTTCACACTGCATGTAACGAATAATTTTGTACGAATAACGACAGATTTTAATCCAAATGAACTTTCCACAGGATTAACTGGACATACTTCCCCATGTCGGAGCTAAATCGTGAGCAAATTCGCTAGGAAATCTGCCTCGCTCAAAATGGGGTTGATCATCGCCTTTTCATTCTGAGTTAAGTCAAACTGATTTCCACAGTAAGCTTGTCACGCACACACTTAAAAACAGTGTGCATGGAGGCGTACATTTTATTTTCGTTTGCAGAAACCTGAAATATGTTGCGCAAAATTTGAACACAACCATGGAGTGTACTCACGGCGCTGTGCGAGGACTGCATCTCCAGCAGCAGGGGCTGCTTCTCCGATGCGAGGTGGGTCCGCAGGGCAGAGAGAGCAGTCCACACCTTCTCCTTGTCCGGCCACGTCAGCACAACATCTACAGCACACCGTAAGGGTTCATTCATATACCTCTCTCCGAACGAAGAATCCATTTAATAGTAAGGGGACACGCTCGGTTCGAGACCTGATTAGTGACTCTGGAGCTCAGACGAGGGGTGAATCAGCGCTTCGGTGTACACATGAGTGCGGAGTGCGTGAGTACACCTGCTTATACTCACAAATTGGGTACACTGATAACGATTTGACGCCTTTTTGGTTTTTTAAACGAAAATCAATACCGATTCCTGGACAAAGTTATTTTCGCTCTTTTAAAATTTGTTAGTATACTGAGTACGGGCAAAGTGTGTACGCATAAGTACACTAGTGATTCACCCCTCAAGCTCACAACACATCTTGAGGTTGGGCCGTCAGCGAGGGGCAAACAACTTAAATTTTGGTGTACTTAATTTTTTAATTTTTTTGAAATAACGTGAAATAACGGTTAAATAACGTTGAAATAACAGTGAAGTAACGCGTAATGACGTGGATTAACGCGAAATTACGTTGAATTACCCTTGAAATAACGTTGAAATAACATTGAAATATCGTGAATTTGCAATAACGGTGTACAAATTTTGACGAAGTTGTTTGCCCCTCGGCCGCCGGCGCCGGTCTCCTGGCCCACTGTGGTTGGTTACTGCTACTCACCGGACATGAAGCCGGCGCGTTGGAAGGCGGCGCACTCAGCCTGGTGGCGCGGCAGGCGGCTGCAGCTGGGACTGCAGACGGGCCAGCCGCACAGGGGGCACTGCGGGTGCCACAGCGGCAGGCGGTCCGACAGGCAGCCCACGCAGAACACCTGGTGAAGGAAATCGTGCACTCAAATTTCTTACGTGGAAAGTTTCACACGATTAGCAGTGATGGAAGTGCTGATTTGCAACCCATGGGTTCGTCGTTCGTCAAGTAAGCGGGCCTGAAGAGCAATGAATTACAAAAAGATACACGGACGGGTCAACCGCACTACAAATGCATTAAGTTTAATAGGTTATCGCCCACATTTCCCTCCTGATTTCGCCCAAAAAGCAAAACAACAGGGATTGTAGGAGGTACAGGGAAAATTGCACAAAGTAAAACGAGGCGTGGACTTCACTTTACTAATCGTACCGGTTCAATTGAACTCTGTACAGCAATTGTTATACTTTGAAAGTACAAAAAATTCCTGATAAAGATTTTTTTTATAAGCTTTTATATTTGTGTTGTTCTTCTTTCTAGCAGTGTTTCTGCAGTACATGCTTCATGGCACTAATAATGCCACGAAAATTTTGCAGCTTTAGCAGTTTATCGTCACACTTGGAACAACAGTATGCCTGCCTATAAGTGCAGAGTGCCTTTAACACCTCTCACACTACAAAGTAAACAAAGCATCTCCTTTATACTTCCGAACCGCGCTCCCAAGTAAATTGAAGCATTGTAGAATTCTTTCGTATTATGAACAAATGGTTTGTGTTACGTAGGATTGTGCTTCACAACGCGAAGCATTTCATTGTCCATGTTCATAGTCCATTCTAAGGTTACATACCGAATAAAGGTTTCGACTCGCCTTTCTCAGGTTCCACACCGAACCAAGGTCTCGACTCACCGAGGGGTGAATCACTCACCGTTCTGGTGTACACATGGGTACAAGAGTACAGGTGAGTACACCTTGCTTCACTTATAAATTTTACAATTTTAAACGTTTTGAGGTTTTAATTAGCGTTTTTAACGGCAATCAACGTTGGTTCGGTCGAGAAACTAGAGAATTTCGCCCTTTTAAAACTTGTGAGTACACTGAGTACGGGCAAATTTGTACACATGAGTACACTAGTGATTCACCCCTCGCGACTCACCATTCTGGGGTTCCAGGGGGGCGGCACGACCAGCAGGGGCAGCTCCCGCAGCACCACGGTGCCGGCGGGGACGTCCTTGGCGAACACGAGGTGGCGGCCCAGCGCGTCGTCCTGACGCACCTCCAGCGCCCCGCACCCCACCTTGTGGCGCGCCCAGTCCTGCACCTGGTGCTTCTTCCCGCAGTAATAGTCCAGGCGGCACCGCCCGCACGGACGGCCTGCGGCACCGCACACCGTGCACGGCGCCGACTCGGCGTCTGGAAGTCAGGAGAAGAGAGCACACTGAGAAAACCTTACAAACTATTTTGGGCCGTACAAAGAAAAGCAGTTTGTTATAACGAAGTATTTTGAACATACATGAGCTCTCAAAGAAACTACTTCGTCACAAAGTAAATTAGTTTGTGTTACGTATGCTGAAAATACTTCGTAAGGTATTAAACGTGCAGACATCTCAACAGTGGTCAATGATCACCCCTTATGAGAAGTGTAAGAACCTGACCGCACTTTAACTGCGGTGAATTAAAACAGATAGTGTGGCAAAAATGGCAATGTTCGTCAATTTTTTGTTGAAGACAAACGCAGGAATGTGAGGTCGAATCTACACCGCAGCTGAAGCTGCTGTGCTTATGAGACACCACAGGTTCAGTTTCACCACGTATATTTGGGTTGGAAGTACCTCATTTCAAACGTCAGTCAGTGTACACTAACTCTTGTTGACTTTTTAAATGCAAAATTGCGCACCTTATACGCTTAAATATGCGTGCACAGGTGCGAACGTTGGGTGTGTATAACATTATGCATCACTTAGTACATTTTATGCATCTTCCTTAATAAAATGTACACAGCAATGCATAAGTGTGCATTCAAAATTCCACAAGAATTGAGTATGCAGCCTTTCCACGATCCATTTTAGACCTGCCATTTGTCTAGATCACTGAGCTTTGCACGGGACTTAACAGCCCTAGCTTTCAATCACTGAACATGCATTGGGGGCATTCCACGCCAGTTCATCCGGGACCCCAAATTTCACACCTCGGATTTGGGTTCTGGTGACTTTTTCTTGAAGTAATCATCACTAACAACAAAACCATAAAAGTTTTTCAAAATTTCAATTTGCATCAAGAACCTATAAAGCCCCAATCCGACTGACTCACTCACTGACTCACTGACTCACTCACTCATAGAAATGTTTGGGGTGAAGGAGTGGTCGTAGAGACTTGCGGTTTTTTCCATTCGATTCCAAATTTTATGGGAAAATTGGGAAAAATCCCAAAAGTTGAAAATTCCTCACCGTTTCCGAGAAAACCTACTTTATCTACAAAAAAGGGGAACAAATTTCTCACCGTTTCCGAGCAAACCTACTCAATCTTCAAAAAAAGGGACCGACCGACTAGAAATTTTTATTCGCCCCATCGGTAGGTCTGGTCGAGACATTTCTGAAACTGTGCCGCAATCGGGTTCTTGTCACCGGCAACATCCTCAAAAACGATAAAATAGGCCTAAATTTAACAAAATCCACTCAATCTTCAAAAAAGGGGACCGACCGACTAAAAATTTTTATTCGCCCCATCGGTAGGTCTGGTCGAGACATTTCCGAAACAATGCCACAATGGGGTCTCCGTCACCGGCAACATCCTCAAAACGATAAAAAAAGGCCTAAATTCAACAAAATCCACTCAATCTTCAAAAAAGGGGACCGACCGACTGAAAATTTTTATTCACCCTATCGGTAGGTCTGGTCGAGACATTTCCGAAACTATGCCACAATGGGGTCTCCGTCACCGGCAACATCCTCAAAACGATAAAAATAGGCCTAAATTCAACAAAATCCACTCAATCTTCAAAAAAGGGGACCGACCGACTGAAAATTTTTATTCACCCTATCGGTAGGTCTGGTCGAGTCATTTCCAAAACTGTGCCGCAATCGGGTCCCCGTCACCGGCAACACCCTCAAAACGATTAAATAGGCCTAAATTCAACAAAACCCACTCCATCTTCGAAAAAGGGGACCGACCGACTAAAAATTTTTATTCGCCCTATCGGTAGGTCTGGTCTCGACATTTCCAAAACTGTGCCGCAATCTGGTCCCCGTCACCGGCAACGCCCTCAAAACGATTAAATAGGCCTAAATTTAACAAAATCCACTCAATCTTCAAAAAAGGGGACCGACCGACTGAAAATTTTTATTTGCCCTATCGGTAGGTCTGGTCGAGACATTTCCGAAACTGTGCCGCAATCGGGTCCCCGTCACCGGCAACACCCTCAAAACGATTAAATAGGCCTAAATTCAACAAAACCCACTCCATCTTCGAAAAAGGGGACCGACCGACTAAAAATTTTTATTCGCCCTATCGGTAGGTCTGGTCTTGACATTTCCAAAACTGTGCCGGAATCTGGTCCCCGTCACCGGCAACATCCTGAAAACGATATAAAAATATCAAAATAGGCCTAAATTCAACAAAATCCACTCAATCTTCAAAAGAGGGGACCGACCGACTGAAAATTTTTATTCGCCCTATCGGTAGGTCTGGTCGAGACATTTCCGAAACTGTGCCGCAATCGGGTCCCCGTCACCGGCAACACCCTCAAAACGATTAAATAGGCCTAAATTCAACAAAATCCACTCAATCTTCATAAAAGGGGACCGACCGACTGAAAATTTTTATTTGCCCTATCGGTAGGTCTGGTCAAGACATTTCCGAAACTATGCCGCAATCAGGCCCCGTCACCGGCAACGTCCTCAAAGTCATCAATCAAGAACCTATAAAGCCCCAATCCGACTGACTCACTCACTGACTCACTCACTCACTCATAGAAATGTTTAGGGTCAAGGGGTGGTCGTAGAGACTTGCGTTTTTTTGGCCCGCCCTTCTATTCAAAAAATAGGGGGAGGGCCTATGCATTTGCCTTTGTGTCTGTGTGTTGTTGTTGTTGTTGTTGTTGTTGTTGTTGTTGTTAGCGTCTGTGTACAAGGAAGGAGTTGAGCTAGAGTAACCAGATTTGGAGGGTACTTCAGGAGTACCGTCCAAACAAATAATCCGGTGGTGCAAATCCCGTCCGGGTCGCACAAGGGCTGCTGCAGGTGCATCATGGTTTACATGAGCGGGAGGGGAGGGGGATTTCCGCCATTATTGGTGCTAGCAGCCCGACTTCGTCCTCTAGTAACATCAGGATCTTGAAAAAAGGGGGTCAACCGACTGAAAATTTTTACTTAAGTTTTGGAAAGGTCTTGGCAAGACCTCTTCAACGAGGGGTCGGAAGGGGGGTCCAGGAGCCCGCCTTCATGAGTTATGGGAAAAAGTGCTCCTGCTGTGCCTCTATTGCAAGGAGTTGCAGTAGCATGGCAAATATGGGTATTTTCGGGAATGAGGGCGAAGAGACAAATGAAATGGGCATATTCTAAGGACAGTTGGAGTAAAAAGTGTAAGGACTATTGCATATTGTGAATAGAAGGGCGGGCCTAAGTCACGATGGTACATCGATAACTTTGCTTTACCTGCTCACGGGGTGTGTGATGCGAGCGGGCCGAAGGCCCGGGCCTTCGACTGGCCAAGTTGGGTCTGATGTGAGGGCCGAAGGCCCGAGGAAAGGCCGCCGGCAGGCCAAGCTGGGCCGGCTCCCTGTCGAACCGAGTTGCCGGCGCAGCGAAGCGGAGCTGGCAACTCGGTTCGACGGAAGGGCGGGCCCTAGCTTGTTTCATTCACCTCTATCCTTGTCAAAGCAGTCTTCAATATTTTCCGGACCTTGTATGCACCCATTGACTGCCACAGTAGCGAATGCAATACAAGCTATCTATTTGGGCAGTAAAAGTAGCTTATTATATGGTGTAAAGCTGTTAAATAGGCCTTTCATAGAAGCAGTACATTTACTTCCTTAGAAAATTAGCCTTTGGTCACCACGGACTTACTGAAAATACTTCGGCACGCGCCCCACACATGCGGGGGTCTGGGGGCGGAGCCCCCAGCGAGCAGCGCGAGTAGGAGATATGGCCAAAAGAAAATTTCAAAATCACACATTAGAAAAAATAAAAAATAAAAATTTTAGAATTTTTTGTTTGCTTTTTTGATGGTGTGGTGGTCTAAAATAAAGAATGAAAACCCATCTTGGGTCATACGTCTCACCACTTGGGTGAAAAAGCTGAAAAACATAAAAAAAGTTACGCGTTTTGGATTTCTTTAAAACTGCGTCTCCAAGCTTGTAAGCAGTTACTTGGCCTTAAAATATCTAAACATGCATTTTACCTTACATACCTTACATACCTTACACCTGACTAGGTGTGCACTTACACGTGAGCGATTCTCACGTTTCGGGGTAGTTTCGTTTCTTCTGACTCCTGTGCCCAAACGAGCGCAGATATCGACATGGGGTTTGTTTCTGATGTTAGGGAGGGCCATTGCCCACTAAACGCACACATTTCGAAAAGTTCACGTTCGTTGGTTTGGTCTACGTAGCGTTTGGAATACCCTAAATGTAACTTCCGTGATTGTCCAAAGAGAACATACTCGAACTTTCCGCCCCCAGTGTGGCGGTGTGGTTCGAAAATGCTGCCAACTGTCGATGGGGATTCGAAGCTTGGCATGTCTCGAGCTAATTTCGACCGAAGACCAATACGCCAGACTTCTTTCAAAGGTACTTACGCTGCAACGAAAAATGTACTCCGTATATTCAATTTCACTACACAAATTTCGAAAAGGCAGCTCTGGACTTCTCCCCAAGCCAAACTTTAAACTTTCCATGACACAAGCCATCAAAGTGGAGTCCCTGGGATATAATTGCATGGGTCGCGGAAATCTAAGATGCTGTACACGGTCTCAAAGCGGGCTAGAGCATTATAAAATGGCGTGTATCAACAATTACCTGTAACTTCCGTGGCACCCTTTACCCAATGTTGCAGCAGCACTAGGTGAAAAAATTTTCCGCTTAAATGTCGGGCTTAGAGTATCATTTGACCCTGGAACGACTTTTAAGCCACAGCAAGCCCGAGTCAGCCGTTAAAGCCGATTTTCACACTTTGTAACTTCCGTGATAACGTAATTTCCGTGATCAAAACACCCACTAAAACGTATGGGAATACCTTACGGCTCATGTTTTTAGGAAGGTAGTACAAGGTCTTTACTATAAATACCATTGCCATAACTCTAGTATCATCCAGGACCCCAATAATCAGAATAACTTAATTGGATATTTCTCACTTTCGGCAAATCAGAGACGCCAAAACTACCCCGAAACGTGAGAATCGCTCACCTGACAAACTGCT